GCATGCGTCTCTCCTTTTCGCACACTAAGCCGCCACAATTATGCTTTGTTTCTAAATGTAATATTGTGATAGAAAAAAAGGAATATTTAAATCACACCAATCAATTCCCAGATAATAAGAATATTGTTTACTGATACACGTATTCGTCAGCGTGGTCGTGGAGCATTTTGGCTGACGCCTTTGCATCTTTGAACAGGTGATCAACCAGCTCGACATCCTCCTCAGTTATCACATCCCGTCCATTCGTTTCCGCAATAATCAACGCCGGGGAGAGCAGCTGCGTGACGTAGCGCAGTGAGGTCGACTCGCCAATGGAACCTAGCTTGACCAACGCCTCTTCCGAGACTTTCACCCCCTCCACGCGAGCGCGAATTTCCGTGATGGATGTAATCTCATCGACATTATAATACATGGTGCGAATGATCAAGAGACGATCCAGGAGATCGGTGGGCATGCCGTGCGGGGCCCTAATTTCAGTCCCACGAATCCGGCAGCTACCGCGATTCGTGGCAAAGATAACAACCGGCGCTAAAGTAGATTCTAGTGCCTTATTTAGATAGGTAAAGCACTCGATATCAAGCATATGCACCTCGTCGATAAAAAGAACCCCTGGAACCAGTTCAGCCACACCCTGATCAATGTATTTGTTCACCACTTTATTGATTTCTTGGCGCAATTTCTCCGTCACCTCCGTTTTTTTGTGGCGCATAAGGCTGCTCACGATGGAAAGTGCATCCTGCCCCTGGTTGGGCTTTGCGTTAGCCATGTCAAGGTCGTGAAGCGTGACGTCTTGGATAACTTCTTTCTTCTTGTGGACATCCCCCTTCGGGATGGGCACGTACTCGTCCGCCTCTAGGTCGTGATCACCAATGTAGACATCGGAACGGCCCACCCGTTTCACCGCACCGGAGCTCGCCTCGATGTAAATGATATCCCCCACCGATACCTTTTCCTTCTCAAGGCTTTCGTATATGGCGGCATCCAGTTTGAGCTGTTTCGTACCCTTTTGCGATTTGAGCGAGATGATAACATGCGAAATGGACTTCCCATAGCCACCGAGGGGATTATCGGTCTCCTCAGCACGCAATTCGGTTACCTCACCCTCGTATACCTCTTTGTTCTCCTTAATGCGCAGCCCGATGGCACGTCGAAAATTCTCCATGAGCACCTCCGTCTTTTTTACTTCCGCGCTATAGACCTCACTACCAATCATCGGGCAGAATGGAACCTTGGGGCCGAGTTCCTTAGAGATACCCATCGCCAACGCCGTCTTCCCTGTTCCTGGCGGGCCAGCAAAAAGAAGCGCACGTCCAGCCATTTTTTTAGAACGAATAAGTTCCACCACGATGCCTCCCGCCTCTCGGGCCTTTTCTTGTCCGACAAATCCATCACTGGAAGGCTTTGCGCTTCCGTCAGGATTCAACCCAAGCCCTTTAACATGGCTGTGGGCCGCAACGCGCTCCTTTTTGGTGGTAGACACCACTTCCTCGATCTTTATACCGGACATTAGTAAAAAAAAAAAAGCGATAAATGTATATAATTATATATATCAAATTATAAATCTATATTTTATATCCTTTACAGATACTAATTAACTTTTCTAAAATAGATTTACTTATAAATATAGATAGGCCTTTCATGCATGTTATCAGATTTTTTTCCCCATTCAGTAGCCTTTCAATAAAGGTTAATGTGGTTACATATCTTTTTTTTCTCCGGTAGAAGAATGAAAACATGTATGCAAGTAAAATGAAAGTGCTAAGTTGATATAGTGGTTGCTAATAACAACAGCTGCACCACCTTATCTCAGGTGAGTTTATACACCTTCCGATTGTTTTGCCTCTTCTTGAATAACCACCACAATGAACATCAACTCTTCCTTTCATTTTCTTCACTTTCGGTTAGTTTTTTATCAATTTCTGCTAGATCCTTTGCTAAAGGATGATTAGACGATACCATAGTCAGAAGCTTCCCCGCTTCGGTCGCAAGCTTACGTGCGTTTTTCAGGTTCTTCACTTGCAGATTTCCCAGCGCAGCTTTGATTGCGGCTCTTCCGATCTCTACAGGACTGCAGCCATCCTCACACTGTGCCATTTTCAGGGCTTCGTTATAGTAGTGAACCATCGACCCCACCTCACCGAGTTTCGCATACGCATCACCCAAGGAAAGATAGGTTTCCACCAGATAGGTGGGCTGCTCGCCCACCGCCCGCTTCTGCACGTCAAGAGCCTTATCCAACAACTCCTTTTGCTTTGCGTAATCCCCGTTCGCGGCGTGCGCTTTTGCGAGCTCCAGCAAACTCTGCGCAAGCTGAGGGTTGCCAGAGCCGAAGCGGATTTCGTGAATTTCAAACGCCTGCTGTACAAGTTTTAGGTGTTTCTCGGGTTGGTTGTTCGCCCCGTAGGCGCGGCCGAGTATCATCAACGCGGAAGTGGTTTGTATGTGCGCCGCGCCGTAGTGCCGCTGTAAAATCTCAACCACCCGCGCCGCCACATGCAACTGCGCCGCCGACTCCCCGAGTCTTTCATGCGCGTTTGCCAGCAAAAGCAATACACGGGCGAGTTTGACGTTCGTGGGGTTCAAGCACGTTTCCTGCACAGCCAAGGCCGCCTCGAGGTGGCGGCGCATCGCCGCGTAGTTGCCGACCTCCTCTTCGGCGCAGGCCAGATGAGAGAGCGCCATCGCGTACTGCAGGTGCGCCGTGCTGTACATCCGCTCCACCACTTGGCGATTCTTCTCCAGCAGTTCGATCTTCCGCGCGTGCTTGCCCACCTTGCCGTACACCGAGGCCAGGTTGTAAAGGCAGCCGATCACGGCCACACTGTCTTTGGAATGGTTCTCCGAGTCTGAAATTAACTCCCACAAATGAATTGCCTCACCATAGTCCCCTTCTTTAAATGCCTCTGTGGCTTTTTGGTTAAACACCATCAACTCGTCCGCCGAGTAGTTTTTTTTCGAGGTGCTGTTAAGGCGATAGGGGATCCAGAGTTGAGGACCCATTTGTGCGCTTTGGTTTTTGCACAGAGCACAAGACCGCGTTACCCTAATGAAGCCACATACTTTCCAATCAAAAAGTAGTTTTGGCGTAAGTCTACACAACGTTTTTATCATACGAGTGTTTGGAGTTCGATAAAAGGGGTGATTATATGTGCTAGGCCTGTCTTTTTGTACTACACTAAATGATACAGCATAAGAAAAATGGAAAATCCCCCCCCAAAATATATTAAGTCATTTTGAAAGTACAAAAAAAAAAATAACATTGTACATTAATAAAAAATAATCTGGGAAATTCGTATACGCATTTTTATTAATGAGAATAATTCATTCTTTTTTTGAAGCCATCAATATTTTATAAAAAAGAGATCGTTGAACCAGCATGTTTTCAATATAAATATACATATATATATATTTATATATACTTAGGTGTATAGATTTATGTGATCCTAGTCATTACTCCGGGCAGTCAACAATCCCAACGTGTTCTAGAACAGAGCGCTCCAAAGCTGAAGGGAATTCGCTGCCTATTGTAAGGGATGCGGCCATAGTACAGCGAATAGAACCGCCACTACGTCTTTCCAAGACGTCACCCTGAAATCCCAAAACGTTTTCCGGACCATACCACCGCTCCAGAAGTTTTCGGGTTTTCGGATCCAGGTTATCCAGCGCGGTTTGTGAGATACAAATAAAAGGAAGCTCAGCCCCATCTGGGGTGCGGCCGGTGAGCTCAAAGGCGTTTCCGGCAAAGCTTTGGATCTCCCGCACGCTGAGCTTCAGCACGCAATCGTATTCCCGGAGGAGGTGCTCATAAAACGCCTTTTGCGCGTTGTCGGATTCGAAGCGGAGGAGGTCGAGGGCCCAGGCGGCGATGCGCTTTCCACACCACCCCACCACGTTGGTGTGGTAGATGACGTCCTCACCGCCTTCTGCGCGGGGGGTGGCCGAGGAAAAGACAAACCGCCGCTCCTTCGGGATGTTTAAATACTCCGCACCGCAGATGACGTCGAGGAGGGCGTCGTCCGTGCGGCCCGAGCGCGACATGTAGACGAAACGGCCGTCATGCGAGAAGTTCAGCGCACCGGTCCCCTCCAAGCAGCGATTCTCCCCCTCAAAACCGCGAAGATCGACCAATTCGATGCGCTTTTCCGCGGCCGATCGGCGGAGCTTTGCGAGGAGCTGCTCCTCCGGCAGCTCGCCCCGGCGGCAGGGGCTCATCGGGTAGAGAAAGACCACCCGCCGGTTCACCTCACCCGTCGGGGTGGTGAAATTGTGGAAGGAAATGGCGTTATTCGGGAAGACCGCGTCGCCTTTTGTGGCGTAGACCCTGCGCCCGTCCGGCTCATCGACGAGCCGGAGGATCCGCGCGTCGACCCCTTTTGCCCGGATGCGCGCGCGGAGATCGTGCAGCAGCTCCTGGACGAGGGCCTGGTCCTTCAGGGCTTCGGCCTTCTCGACCTGCGCCGAGGCGATGAAGACGTTGTCTTTAATGTTTTCATCCGCCCCAAAGAGAATGGGTTCGGCAAAAAGAACAGAAGACATTATATATATATATATATATGGAAAATTAAATCAAAAATCTAAATTTATTACTCGAATAAGGATTTTATAAGAGTGTTAGTATTATATATATTATAAGGTCGTTGTGATAAGACTAAAATACCAAAAAATATAAGGAGCAAGAGAGAAAAAAAGCATTCACGCAGTCGTATAAAGATCTATCCTCCTAATCTGTGGCACCTGTGTTTCTCATGTTATCTCTATATATATAATTGGGATTTAGATACGCCCCTCCCAAGCTTTCAAATTTTATACCCCCGAGACCTCATTTTTTTTTTGTCCCTCTTGTCATCCATATGTTCACATCTGGGTCACAAATTAGGCTAAGAAGTTTGTCGTCATGGCAAGCAAGGTACTAGAGTCTTCCGCGCTTAAGCCAATTTTATTCTCAACATGGCGGATTGTTTTGAAAAAAGCGGCAACAAAAGGTACGCTCTCTTTGTTCGTATTCCAGGCCGTAAACCCAAGTTTTGCGGCTGACAAAAGGGCCTCAACTTGCGTTGGAGAGAGCACCGCATTTCCCCTCTGTGCCTCCCCCTCCTCACTTGCCAAGGCGCGAACATATCGCCCGAACTCCGCAAAAAGCGTCGCCGCTGTTGAATCGCGCACGCCTCGTTCTAAAATCATTTGTGAAAGAATCGACACCGCACTGGACGGAGCTGTACCGGGGGGAATCAAACCTTCATATCGCCTTTGTTTAGCCGATCGTTCATTAGTTAGCGTGCCACCGGATGCAATAAAGCGTAGATACGCCTCATCAGGCCCGATATCGACATCGGGGAAGTGTTTTTGTGTTTTACAGCGCTCCTCCAGCGCGTTGTTTGGCTTCCTATGCAGAATGCGAACTTTATACGCGGCCCGTCGTTCGTCCAGGTATTCCTTCAGGTCAGTGTTCTCGAAGCGGAGCCTCCAGTGCTGAATAGCCTCTTCCTCGAGATACGGATTATAACCAAACTGCTGGCGAAGGCTTTGCAGGGCGGCGTTGTCGGGGGCCGTTAACAGGGCATCCTCCGCTGTTTGCGTGCGTTCTTTTTTATACTGCGGCTTCTCCCGCACGCAGTTTGCGCATCGCCGACGAAAATGTCGATTAATCACCCCACAGGAAGGGCACTTCCAATCTCCCATTCGACACTCCATCGGCAGCGATCCCTCCTCGCCAGGCGGGTGATACAGGCGGCATTCCGCCCCCCAAATACAGCGCCCTTGCAGGTAATCCATGCAGGGCTGTCCGAAGAGGTTCAGCCCGTCCTCGTCCGCCATCGCGCGCTCCTCGCGGGCCCAGGTTTCCTCCTCGGCGCGCTGCTGTTCGGCGACCTCGTCGGGGTGGGCCACGGCCCAGAGCCGTTCCTTCTTCCCGAGCCAAATCGCGTCCACGACGTGGCGTGGGAAGACCCGCTCCCAGTGGGCCACGAGGCTGTCGTACTTGGCCGCGAGGGTCGGGTCCTCGTAGGGGATGTGGTCCCGCCCGACCTCCAGCAGGTAGCGCCCGGCGACGTGGCCGTAGTGATCGCGCCCGGCCTTGGCGAGGCTGTCGAGGACGTACCAGCAGGCCAGCTGGTGGGGCCCCGTCCACACCTTCACGTGACGGAAGAGCGCCCCCACGACGAGCTCGAAGGCCTGGGGGTGGGCCCCGACCGCGCGGCCCAGGGAGGCCGCCGCCTCGATGGCCGTCTTGGTCGGCCGCCGAAGCTCGCGGAGGGCGGCGCAGAAGGCGGCAAAGGCCTGCAGCGTCTCCCGGTCGATCGCCGGGGGCTCCTGAAAGTATTCCTCCCCCCCACCGAACATCGAAGGAATGGAGGGGTGGTCTACAGCTCACACACACACACACACACACACAGAAAACTACTACAGGGAAGGAGAGAAGATGGTGGTGGATGGGACAGTACATGATGGGACACGGAGAAAGCGAACACTGATTAACAGGGACAATAACCACATTTTTTAATTTTATTTTAAAAGAAGTGCTCTATGCTTTTTTTTTAAGTATAAATTTCTCCTTCTTCTTCTTTGGTTCTAGAGAAGAAAGATTACATCTATTTTCGAAACCCGATTTCACAGGGTGTGAGTTTGTCGAACCACTCCCGACGTTCCTGTCGTAGCTCCTCCACGGATTTGCGAAGATGCTTCAGCTCGATTTCGTATTCTTGACGGACACGTCGCTCCTCCTCCTCACGCTGCACACGTTTATTCATATCGCTCTGAAGCATTACCACTTTTTCCTTATACCAGCGTGATACCGCGCGAGCCTTTTCACACTCCACGAGTTGATCTACCAGACGCTTTACCAGAACCTCGCGATCTTTTAAGAGAAAGGAGGCTTTTTCTACCAAAGCGGCGACGTCTTCTTCAGAAAAAGGGTGGCTAACCCTAATATCGGCCATAGCAACTTCCACACCCAAAGAACATTCCTCATACGAAGAAGCTGGAGGCGCTTTTGATGGTGTCCGTACTTTCTTCCTTTCGGTAGGAGGGAAAGAGGAGGAGGGGGATTGAACTTCATCTTTAAAGCTGTGGAAGGAATGGAAGGTGAGGTTCGAGGCTGGCGATTGATAAGGGTGGCGTTCGAAGGATGTATGTTCATGAATATGGCTACGAAAGCAGCTTCCTTCTTCCTTTTCCATGAGGTGATTCTGATTTTTTCCGTTTATGGGAGAAGCCATCATCGCGGGTGGAGGCTGCAGAGGGCCTTGAATCCCCTTTGTTTTACTTTCCCTAAACCGTCTTTCACTTTCCATCATTGCACTCCTCTTCCAAATACTAAGCACCTCCTCCGCACGTCGCCTATTGAATTTGTAGTGGATCTCTTTACACAGCCTCGCCGTACGTGCCTGTCGATACCAAAGACGGAGGAAAACACACTTTCGTGTATTACGAATCACTTGTATTTCATCCTTTCGTTGCTTCCACATCGTGAAAAAGACCCTTTTTCGCTCTAAATAAGTCAAGTCAAAGACCAAACGAAGCATAGAGAGACTAGAGACCCACCGTAGTATCGGTGTACTCTTCATCCTAGTAGAGACGCATTGGTAAAATTTTCTCAGAAGAATATTTCTCAATAGTATTTCCCTCCAGACCCTAAAAACCAACCTTTTTTTCGCTGTCAGATGAGCATTGGATAAAATCTGAAGGCGCGATTCCTCATCTTCGCTGGATTTATTTGTACGCCAATCGCTTGGAGTTGATTTCGAATTTAATACCTCCATGATATTTTTTCCTAGACGTGATGCATCTGGGGATGGGTAGGATGGCGTCAGGCATGCCTGAAGTGGAGTAAGCTCCGCTAATTCTTCGGTTTTAGTAACCGAATCGCTTTCCATTTGAATAGTTTTTTCATCTTCAGCTAGGGATCTTGGATTTTCAGGGTCTTTTTCCGATTTTCCCAGAGTGCTCTTGCTCGCGGAGGAGAGGGTTTGTTCGATAAGCGGTGCTGAGCGCATACTCGGGGTTTCTTCTTCGTGGGTTTCTACATTATTCTCTGGAAAGAGTTCACAGAAGAGGTTGGGTTTGGCCACGGATTCCTCCATTGGAGGCGTATGCTCTGAAGGCGAGAGAAGAGATGACGACCGAGAACGACACTCGACAATATCAATGGTTTTTGGTGTCTTTTTCATTTGCCTATGGAAATCCATTTCTTGTATATTTTCTAATTTTTTATTTATTGAACGTGATTTACTCATATGCAAGCGCTTTGGATAGCCCTTGTTGGGGGTTGTTTGCGTCTTCTTTGCGTAAATATCCGCAAGGATTGTTTCCTCAGTGTTCAACACAGTGGAAAGCCACGTCCCACACAGCGCATCGACATCCTTGGAGAAAAGCGATAATCCTAGCAATCGCGCAATTCTCAGTAGACATGCGCACACCTTCACGTCTAACATCGATACAAGTCGACAAAAGACTTCTTGAGAGCATACTTTGCAGTTCGAACAAGTCCTCACTGCTCCGGCATTCCGCAAGGTGTCTTTACTCCACTGCAGATCCTCCAAAAGGATCTCTGAAGCCTCGTCTAACACGCTAATCACACTCCCATTCGACCCCATTCGCATTTCCACGGACTCATTCACGGTAAGGTTTGAAGAAAACGCGGATATCTGCATTGGATTCCCCTCATGATTGCTAGAATCCATAAAGTTGACATTTTTTTGATTATTTTTAAATCTTTTGAGGTATTGTGCGATGAGTAGCTGGGTGGTGTGGACCGTTTCCTCAATTCCACATTTACCCAGCACCGCCTTTGAGCAGTGCTTGACAATCTCATCAAGTTTCTTGTCCGTTTGAAGACAGTGAATTACGATTCCACACTTTCGCATCTCCTCATGCACGCGCATCGTTTTTTCGACATGCGTGAGAAAAGAAACCAAGTGGTGTCGCTGGAGGAGCTCGGGAAGAAGCCCCATCTCCCGCTGAAGGCAAAGCGCGGCGGTCGTGATCTCTGCCATGCGAACAGTACCCCCGTCGAGTTTGCGAAGACGGCATCTGCCGTCCTCGAGGGAATGGGGAAAGCTGCAAATTCGGAGCAAATGCGCGCGATAGTGCGGGAGGGCGGTGACCGGGTTGAACTCCAGGGATAAATACGTGAGTTGGGAAAGGAGGCCGAGGGGCTCGCAGTCCTCCACGCGGCGGAGGCCGTTCCCCAGAAGGGAAAGCCGCACCACATTTCGGAACTGCACGCACCCCAGGGTCCGAGTCAGGCGATTGCGGGACAGCAGCACCGTGTGAAGGGAAAAGGCCAGCACCAGGTTGAGATAAGAATCCTCCGTCGGCGGCGCGAGGCGGTTGGAAGGTCCGGGGGATAATCCCCTGGGTTGGATGTTGGGGTCCGCTTCCGCTGTTAATAACGCGACGTACGCGCGGGCCATGGCTTGGACCTTGTTGGAGCCCTTGGCGACAAGCCGGCAGAGGGCGGAGGGGTTGATATCGACTTCGGTAATACGCTTGGAGGTGCACGTTAGCTTTTGCGAGGATCGATCGAGGTCTTCGGGATGAAGCCGAATGTGGCTTGAAAGAGTCTTGAGCAGCATGTGTATTGAGGAATAAATATTAGAATAGAAAATAATTTTGATAGGTGTGAGCGGGGAAAAAAATATATAAATCTACAAGGTTTACGTTTATGTATATCCTTTTTCTATATATGTATGCATATATATATGTGCCTGAAATCAGCACGCTGACTCTTCTGTGCTGGATACACCAAATACGATGTAAAAAATAAAACGCATAGAGAAAATGGAACGCAAAGCGTCGCCAGGGAAGAAGGGCTTTTGGAAATAGCAACAGACTGGATAGCAATACATGGTCAGTAGGTAATACCTAATAATAATAATAATAATAAACATTCATCTAATCATACAGGTATATATATACATATACATATATATATATCTATATTATATTTATGTACACATACACAGACATCAATATTTAACTACAAGATTACCAACGGGCTTCATTATGGGCAATAGGAACCCCCGGTCAACGTGTGAAACAACACATAAGTGTAATTATTCAGATGAACCCTCTTTGCTCTAATTCAAAAAAAAAGGTGAAATGGGTATAAAAGCTTTTTTAGTAGGGTATCATAGAAAAGCATAAAAATATTGTGATTTTTATTTTAAACTTATAGCATACCTTTACTCTTGACCTTCTTAAAAACAAAGGATAAAAGACCCTAGCAAATGAGTCTTTGAGGCTTCTTCTATCCTTTTGCATCCTTTTCACCCTTTATTATGGAGTATATCTCCCCTCCTCTGTGTATCACTTTTCGCGAGATATTCAAGCCTCGTATTAATTAAGGAATTTACCCTTTTTTTAAACTTTATTGAGTATATGCCAAGAATTGATACTCTATTTGCTTTCTATCCGATTACAAAATATGCTCACACTAGCAAGGGGTAAATAAGGAAAACCCGCCGTGGACTTCATCATCCTTCCTTTTAATGTTGCTTAAAAAGGCATTGAATTATATAATTTTTCACACACCTTCTTAGTTCTCATTAATTTTTGATTGTCCTGTATTATCTTCGTCTTCTTCAAGGGGGAAACTCAAACGTTGTTTTTCACTAAGAAAAAGGTTAATTTATCAGTTAGGAGAGAAAGCAAGTAATATGAATTGATCTCTCTGCCAAAGAAAGAAATCGCTTCTTTCATGTTATTTTAGTTAGTATCCGGCTCCTTATTCATGATCGTCTATAGTGCGGATAGAGGAACATCATCTTCGCTTTCTTCCTTTTTGACAGCACGAGGACGCTTGCTCAGGAGCTTTTTCGACGCATTGTTGGCGGACGTCTTCCCGTTGGGAATATCCGCCGCCTCCTTCTTTATCTTTGTTGAAGTTTTCATTTTCAGTGAGGCCTTCTTTACCTTTTTGGAGTTTTTCGATTTGCCATTTTTCTTGGTACTCTTTATTTTGCTTGGTTTGGACTTCTTCGCCGACTTGGCCTTGGATTTAGACGATGTGCTTGATTTAGTCTTCTTTTTATTTTTCTTCTTGTCAGAGGAGGAACGAACCTTCGGCTTCCCACGGTTTGCTACCAACTCGGCGTACTCCTTCTTTTGCTCTTCCGTTCCATACACATCCAGCCACTCGTATTGCATGCGATCCTGCTCCTCAAAGAATTCTTTGACGGCCGCCTCGAACGATTTCCGCTTTGCCGTTTCCTTCGCCTTGAGAAGGCCGTCAAGAATTCGCTTCGTGTACTCCGATTTCGCCGTTAATTGCGCGAATTGCTTGGCGAACCCCTTCGAGATGGATTTCTGATGGTTGCAGAGGATCGCAACCTCGGTGTTTGCTTTATTGAAGTAGGCTAGCTTATCAGGAATGGAGCTTTTCGGTTCGACAGGTTTCTCCTTGAACCACCGATCCAGGGTGATGGAGGCGTTGTAGGTACGGAAGACCTTTGCCGATAGGTCCTCCATGAAGGACTTGAGGTGATCATTGAGCTGTGTGGTGGTGAGTTGGTCAAAGACGTCATCGCCGCGATTCTTCCCGTGCATAAACTTCCTGAGCAGCGCGTAAACCTCGGGCAGCACCGTCACCTCGTTGGTGTAGCGAATGGAGTCCTTTCCGAGGAAGTCGAAGCGGACGACGTGATTCGGCTTAAGTTCCATGTGCTCGACGCGGAGCGAGCAGCATCCGACGGTATCCGCCTCGTTCTCCCCCTTCTCGTTCCCCACGCGCAGGGCGAGTTTGTCGACGAAGTACATGGCGACGGCGCACTGGGCGGTCCGCCGGTCCGCCGCGGCGAAGTTTCGCGTGTAGTGGGCGCGGATGGTCTGGATCGACCCCTTGAGGCGCCGCGCGGTTTCGAACTTGCGGAGGTCGGACTGCCCCTTCACCGCGGAGGCCGCGGCGAGCATGACGTACTTGACCCCCCCGGTGACGCCGTCCCGCCAGGTCGCGAGCCAGGTCACGCGGTCGTCGTGGCGGACCT